AAAAAAAAAAAAGAAAGAAAGAAAGGAAAAGAAATTATTTAGGGTCAGGCTAAGTGGCTCACACCCCTGTAATCCCAGCACTTCGGGAGGCCAAGGCGGACAGATCACTTTGAGCTCAGGAGTTCGAGACCAGCCTAGGGAACATGAGGAAACCCCGTCTCTACTAAAAATACAAAAACTAGCGAGGCATGGTGGCACATGCCTGTAGTCTCAGCTACTTGGGAAGCTGAGGTGGAACGATGGCTTGAGCTTGGTAGACAGAGGTTGCAGTAAGCCAAGATCCTGCCACTGTACTCCAGCCTGGGTGACAAAGCCAGACCCTGTCTCAAAAAAAAATCCCGTTATCTTTAAGAAAAAAAATATAGAAAAAAATTCGGTTCCTCAACTCTATAACTTCCAAATAGATTTAAGCAAGTTAAGCCAAGATCATGCAAGATCATGATTATTAAGCAAGATATAAAAGCAGGACCATCTACCCACTGAAAATTTTCTGGTTAAAAAAATATGTCGGCCAGGCGCAGTGGCTCACATCTGTAATCCCAGCACTTTGGGAGGCCAAGGCAGGTGGATCACCTGAGGTCAGGAGTTCGAGACCAGTCTGGCCAACATGGTGAAACCCCATCTCTACTAAAAATACAAACATTAGCTGGGCATGGTGGTACACACCTGTAATCCCAGGAACTCAGGAGGCTGAGGCAGGAGAATGGCTGGAACCCAGGAGGCAGAGGTTGCAATGAACTGGGATCGCACCACTGCACTCCAGCCTGGGCAACAGACTGAAACTGTGTCTCAAAAAAAAAAAAAAACAAAGTGGATAAAAATTAATTTTATATGTTTTAAAAGTATAGTTAAACCTTCATAAGCAAATTTACATACATCATCAGCTAAGAGAATTTGAAATTTAAGATGTTAAAAAATCTTGAGCATTGAAGATGCTGAAATAATCTGTAATATAGAAGAAATATCATGATATAAGTAGCAATTTTCAAATACAAAGAACTCTTTGGTGGCTGATCTGAGTGTAATGGTGTTTACAATTAATTGATGACAACCAGTTACAGATTTATTTATTTCTCCACTCCCACTGCTTCATTTGACTAGCCTTAAAAAACAAACAAAACAAAACAAAAAACCTCTTTGGGCAGGCCTTCCTTCCTAGCAGAGAAGGCAAAAACATGCACAGTCAGCATCATTACAATTCAGAGTATAATTGAGATTCCCACTAAAGCAAGTAAGGTTGTTGTTGTTGTTGTTGTTTTGGATACTCTAGCTCAGGCTGGAGTGCAGTTGCATGATTTAGGCTCACTGCAACCTCCGTCTCCTGGGTTCAAGCAGTTATCCTGCCTCAGCTTCCCGACTAGCTGGGACTGCAGGGGCGTGCCACCATGCCCAGCTAATTTTTGTATCTTTAGTAGAGATGGGGTTTTGCCATGTTGGCCAGGCTGGTCTTGAACTCCTGACCTCAAGTGATCTGCCTGCCTCAGCCTCCCAAAGTGCTGGGATTACAAGTGTGAGCCACCATACCTGGCCTAAAGCAAGTAAGTTTTATGTG